GATCTTTTTTCAACTCCTTTTTTATTCTCATCTTCGCCACAAGCCCATGGTAAGTACAGAGATTCCTTCTTCCCCAAATAGACAGGTAAAAATCTCCCATTGGTGTTCAATACTAAGGACTTACATGCACTTCTTATTTATCCAAGTGAATATTGCTTCAGATTTCTGAAACATAAATAGATTTCTGTAAAGAAACTCTTCAGGCATTTTATTCTTTCTATTCTCCAGGTCTCTTGCTGTGAAAAGTTGCTTACAAAGTAGCACTTGGTGCATCTTCTGTTTAAAGATTTTAGAGTGACATTAGGAAGGTTCTGTAATCTATTTTTAGTATTTTTCTGCATCCTCAGGATTTTTTATCTTAATACTCTTATACTGTCAAACTGACCCTGAGTAGTTGCTACTAAAAGCTAATAGAAATGAAATTACAAAATAAACAAACACCACAAAACCAACCCACCTCTGGAATGTCTTCCATGGGTTAACAAGAGACTTCAGCACTTTAAGTTTTAGCTTTGAATAGCCTGCATGCGTGGTTGTAATAGTGTATCACTCCATAGTGCATTGAATTAAATATTATCTGTCTATGGTCTGATAGTAATTTTTGTCTTGTTTGATGTTCTCTTAAAATTGCAACTATAATTATCTATGCTGTATGAAGACATGTTTCATACTGCTTGATCTGAAATCTCATTGGATCTGAACTAGATAATTAAGACAATCTTGCAATGTAGACAGGACTGAACATATTCTCTGGGATTTTCTTCTGTGGCTATGTGAAACTGGCAATATCCCTCCTCTTTGGAACAGGGGGAGGGATTTCTCGAGTGAGAAGTCAGGTGACACAGGAGAGAATAGAGCTGTAAAAGTAAGATGTTAAAGGCCAAAAGTCCTGTCAAAACAAACAGGCCACTCTAGAAAACAGAAACCATCCTTGTGGGGATATTAAAGATGCAGTAAATAGAGGAATGTGTCATTACTGATTCTAGGTACCTTGATTATTAAGCCTTAAAACTGCAGCACTTCAAGTGATCATCAAACAATCTACTTCCAGATCTAGCATTTAATTTTATCCACTAAGAGTTCAATGATACGTTTCTTTAAAATGTGTATGGTTTTGGTTGTTTGGAGTTTTTTATTACCGGACTTGAGCTATGACTAACTGTAAATTTCCACTTTTTCAAACAGATCAAATGCCTAAAAGGCCAGAGAGACTTCTCAGACCAACCCACTTTTGATGGGATTCACATTGTCAACCATTTCACAGGAGACGATGAATCATTTCATTCTTCTGATGAAGATTTTATAACTAACTCCATACAGGAGAGTGGGGTGAACTTTCATCTACCCAGAAGGACTGGTCAGATGGCTTTGGATCACACACTTGTAGACAGCAGTGACAGTGATACTGAGGAAAGTGCCCTTCAGACTGGGAATTCAGACAAGATGGTTTCTAAGCAGAGAAGAATGGAATCTTATTCTACTACTGTGTGATTATCACTGTGACGAGCACTGAAGACTTTCCTATTTCTTTAAGGTTGAAACTGGCAGGTAACTGAAGCCATCCAGCAGTTCGCTTGGGCAACTATTGGATCTGGTCTGGCCTGTGATAAATATATAGATGTACTGTCTATCTGCCTTCTCTCTTTGCCAAATCTTGCTAATGACATACCATTGCCATAAAAAGGTTGGGAAGAAGTTGATGGATGACAGTTCTGACAGTATTACTGAATGTTCTTTGGTTTAGAAGCTGCAAATATATTATTTCTTTAGTGCATAAGAACCATTTTTGCTGTTCACAAACACGGGAATTATTTTCCTCAAAAGAAATTGCTTTTGTGCAATATTTTATGCTCTGAACAAAAGTGTATGTTTTACATTGTTATCCTTTTGTGATCAAGATGGACCCTAGTAAACCATCTGATCGTGACACACATATATATAAAATTACCTTATGCTTCTCAATTACTTTTGGTTTTTTACTAAAGTTATTGGATGCCCACAGAAGGCTTGAAAGAGAAGCCTCTATCTGTAGTACTTCATATATGCAAATAATGGTCACTAATGTCATAAAGGTGTTTTCACCACTTTCACTTAAATCTATGTGCATCTGCTTTTGATGTTGCTAAATAATAACTTGTCTGAAATATATTAATTACAATAATGTTTACTTTGTACATATTTATATATCTACACCAAGCTGAAAATGTACATTACACCATTTTATATGAGGAATGTAAATGTTGCAATATTACTGTCTCTGGTATTCTAACAGGAAAATGAATTCTGTATATACACACTAGAAGTGAATTACTAAATAAAGGCAAAACACTAACTTTACATTCAGTTTCAGCCTAGCTACACTAACAAGCTCATGTCAGAAATGCTTGTTCAAAACACTATTGACTGAAATCTTTTACCTTCATGTATATGTAATGAAAATAAATTTTTCATGATTTAACAAGGTTGCTGCATTTACTGTTTAGTCACTTCCAAGCTACAGTCCTTAGTTACCACATAGTCACTTGTGGCCTCTAAACGGGTTCAAATAAGGTGAAAAATTATTCAATTCTAATGAAGAGACATGGTCAATGCAGTGGAAAATATGTGAGTTCAGTCCTCTTACAGTTTATAATTGCAGATCTATGTAGGAAGTGAGCTACTGGTGCTGTCACCAAACAGCTGTGATTGAGCAAAGCAGGGAGAGCTGAGCTGAGCACTCTGCTGCCAGTCTCCTGAAAACTGAGATCCAGTAAAATGGCTTTACCTTCTTGAACAGAACAACATATTCTCCTATTGTCACATGAACACTTACTTGTCCTCTGAGACACATTCTAGTCAAGAATATTCTAAATATTCTGTTATTGCCATCTTACGTAATTAAGCAACCCTTAAGACTTCTTTTAGCAATGTTTGCAACTGTTCTTTTAATAAAGGGGAAAAAGTGCACAAGTTGGTACTGATAGGCAGCTTGTATGTTACCTCTTTTGCTACCCATAAGAAGCAGCATAGTTGTTTAAAACTGCAGAAGTGGGGAAGCATACTGCTGAGAGCATCTCCTAGTCCCATTCTTTTCCCTTTCTTTGGAATGTTATTTTAGAAAGAAACAGCACAAGTGAGGAGATTAACAAATGTTCAAAGAATGATAGAGGAGGTTGCATGGAAGTAGCATGCTCTGGGCCTCTCAACTGTAGTATCTGACCAGGTGCAATCTAATTTATATCTTAAAGCAGGTACGTGACAAATTCCAAATTACTGATATCTGCAGCTCCTAACTTGCTTCAGTATTTCTGCAAAATTTTCCCATATCCTACCACTGAATATGTTGTTCCCAGTATGGCCTGTGCGAATTGCCACCTCTGAGGTGAATTAGCTGACAGGTCCTTATCCCTGCTGAAAATTTTATGTGTGCAAAACCAAATTAGGAGCACTTTTGTTCACAAATGAGTAACAATTGTCTTTTTGCTTCCAATAAGCATCTGCTAACTTAAGTTTGCACCTGGATCATTGTCGCCCAAGAGGATAGGTGACAAATGTCTTGTTGCCTGTCATCAATACCAGCTGCAAGCCTCTCTTAAAGCTAATCTTCTGTAATAAGTGGCAGGCACAAAATTCAGTTGAAGAGCCATAAAAATCCTCTCTGTTTGAACAGTGAAGTGTTATGATTTTGCGATAACTGCCTTACTGTTCAAGTGATAGCAAATGAGATTAGCTGGCAAGGGTTATTTCCTGAACTTCTGTGGTCTTAAAGTATATAATAAATACTGATACTGAATAACAGCATAAATAAAAATATTAAGGGAAATGCAGATGTCGACCCAGCTACATTTCTTCTAGTGATAAAAATGAATCACTGGACATGCTGCAGTTTCAGAAGACTTGGCTATACACAGAGTATCCTAGGAAGACAGCCCAAGATGGGCTGCTCAGCATCATCCTGCTTTCTCTGCAATTCTCCTGGCAAAAAAAAAAGACACTAATCTCTTTGCTATGTGTATTATAATTTGAATATGCATGGGAATATTGTCAAGTTATTAACAGCGTAACAATATATTTGTCAATAAATAAAACATAGTAATTATGCTATATACCGTGATTTTCTAACAAACATTGCTGATTGCTTAGATTTGCTCTAAAATGCAGGCTGGAAAAGCTCAATGCAAACGCTAAAAGCATAAGGTTAAAAAAAGCACATAAACATGAAAACTCAACATTCTTGAATATGTAAGTGCTGCAGCTGAAAAGAGAGGTGAAATAGGGAAGGGGGATGCCTTGCTATATATGGGATTTATGTGTAAATTACATTTTGTGTAATTGTAAATTACAATTTTATGTAGTGAAAATGGTTCTGGTTTCCCCAATCTAATAATCAAATGCTTTCACTAATTAATTTGTATTTTCTTATTTCTCTACACTAGAAGAGTGAATATTTTAGATACTGATAGCATTTATGGTTAGACCTCTTCTTACTGAAGTAATTTCATATATTAGAAGTTTTTTAGTATTTGTGAAAAATCTGGAACATGACTATTTGGGAGAAAGTACACCTGCAAAGATAAGAAGCACGTATTACATTCACAGCTCAACAACTCTTTATTCTCATTGGTCACTCTTTTTTTAATGAAAAGCAGGCCTCATCTACGTACACTTCCACAAAGTACTACTGTCCATTAAACTCAATTTTCAACTGTATGTGCAATTTCCTGTATTAAATAAAATAAATCGCTATGAAAGTGATTAAAAGAAGCATTCGCAGAGGAGTCTGCATAAATCTAAAAAAAACTGTTGATCAGTACTCAACCCTCTTCTGGAACTGCAACACAGATGGAATTGCATGTTTTTCTGGAGTATTTAATGCAGTCACTGTTCTGTATCAGAAACTGTGTTAGTGACTTAGTGAAACTTGATGCTAATATATTTCTATTTTAAGCTAGAATGACTTAGAGATATGTTAGCATAAAATTATCCACATTTTATACAGGACATGCTGCTAATTCTCTTACCTGTTGAGGCTCCAAATAATGTAACTCATTTTGGGGGAAGATAGAGGATAATGCAAATCCCCTAGGAAAGCCATTAGGCTAGTCCTGGAGACTGACTAAAAGAAATCAACCTGTAAGATCTATGTGGAAACTATGGTTCAATCATGCACCAGCTACTAATTCTGTGTACTGAAAGAAGAGGAAAGCTGTGTATAATTAACAGATTTCTGGATTCAATTAAGTACATTTTTGTTCTGTGAAATCTTCTATCATTATAATTACATCAGCATATTTTCTGCAATTCTCTGAGGCTTTTGGTTGGTGATGGAGTTTTTTGGTTTGGGGTTGGGTTTTTTTATTGTGTTGTTTTTATGTTTTTTACAAACCAGTCAAAGACGTAAGAAGAATCAGTGAAAACATTTCCACAGTAGGCTTTAGAACCAGAAATTCTGAATAATAGGAAGTACAAAATAAATTGACTTTCAACATAACCTCTATACAGCATGGAATTTCAGCTTCAGAGCAGAGCAAACATGCTACACGTGCATGCCTACGCATGCCTGGGCACTGGCTGACTACTAAGATACAACCGCTAGATCTAAGATACAACAGCTGAACACTCTCCCTTTCCAGGAACTAAGGCCTTATTTCACAATTAGGAAAAACAGAAGCAGTGTGGCACGCTTAGAACTGTATACTACTGCCCAAGTGACTGAAATTTCTACGTTCGTTTCATCCCAGGCTTCAACACCACAGCATACTGTCACTTTCCCTCCCCAGTTTGCGCTTACAGGGATCATTACTTTTCTAATCTGCTCTGAGAGCAGCAGAAGTTACTTTGCAATTTTTTTGATTGCTGGAAAAACCAATCAAAATCACTGATTAATTTGTCACATTTACATCATGTGTTTATGCCACAAGGAGAACCATAAAGAAGGTAGTGAACAAGATGCTGGAAGAAAAAATAAACAATAAGCATCATGTTAAAAATGGGGTTAAAAAAAAAAAGTTATAAAAAACACACTTCCCAACAGAATGCACACTGCTACAAGTTCTAGCAGCTTTTCATAGTGAAACTGTTCTGCATAACTGTGCTCCAAAGTTTTATCAGTTTAAAGTATACATGAATTCCCCCCCAAGTACCACTGTCTTTCCTGCTTTCTCACAATCCTGACTTCCACACACAAGAAACTCCTCCTCCCCATATGTACCAAGGAGCTAACCTGTCAAATCCTCTTCTTCAGATCCTTCCTCCTGTCGCAGTGTCTCATCACTTCTGGTCCAAGATCTCACCTGCAGCCTGTCACATTTGGCGTCTTACCTGATGTTGTCTCAGCTCCAAGGGTGACACCAGGCAGCTGTTGTGAACAGTGCGGTCAATTATTCTAAGAAGCTCTTCAGCTTTAAGCACGACTATAATACAATCCCACCCTACTTTAAACCCCTCCTCTTGTGTATTTCTTCCTCTCTTTTGCCACTATAGGGTACCAATCAAATACCATTGCATTCAACTGTATCTTAACAAATTTTTACGTTTAACCTGGAATACCGCACTCCCTTTGGGGGAAGCATTAGAGCAGCTCCGTTAAAACCCAGCCCTTCACTCCCCATGGATTACATCCTTCCGCCAACTCAGGGCCTGGGTTTTGGCTTTTCCTTCCTGGGACACAGAACACTTGGCATTGTCACTGTGCTCTTGCATGCCACACGATGACCACTGCACACGCAAGACCACCTCAAGGGTTACTGAGCTGCGGCACGCACGTCACACAGGAAACCAAGAATAAGAGCTGAGTCCCTTCACCTCTGTTCGGCGTGGTGTTACTGCAGTTAGCAGCTCCCCTCGGGGCGGGGAGAGCCCTGGCACGATGGCTGTGGGCGGCTCCCCTCAGGGCTCCCTCCCCTCAGGGCTCCCTCCCCTCAGGGCTCCCTCTCCTCAGGGCTGCGCGCGCGGGGCCGCCTCGCGCCGCCCGCCCGCGGGCATGTGGCACAGCGGCCCGCGCGCGCGAGGCGGTCGCGTGCCCGGCCCCCGTAAGGCCGGGCCGTGCGGGGTGTGCCGATGTGTGCAGGGTATGTGCGGGGTGTGCGGAGTGTGCCGGGGTGTGCGGGGTGTGCTGGTGCGTGCCCGCAAACACAGCCCCACCTGCCTGCATCCCCAGCACCGCTCGGTGCGCAACGCCGCGTTCCGCTTCCCTCTCCTCACCGGCGCCGTGAAACAAATGGCCGTCCAGCCGCGATCCTGGGAAGGCAGGGTCCATTCCAGGCACGAACTAGTATTGCAAATCAGTATTGCAAATCATCGGTTTCATACCGTTTCCCCTCTAATTGTTTGAGAAAGCTGACGCCCTAGAGCCAGAGGTCCGCTCCCGGTGCCCATGCAGCGAGAGATTGTATTGCTGGATGTGAAGCATTCGATTGGTGCACTCGTTTGATTTCTTTATTTCTGCTGAAGGATTTAACCCTATTAGGAAGCAGGTGAGGAAGGGCCGGCCGTCCGCAGGTGGGCCGAGCATAAGGGGCTGGCTGGGCGCGGTGCCTCCCGCAGGACAGCCCCGAGCGGAGCCGCTCGACGCCCGGCAGCGCGTCCCGCACCCCGCATCCTGGATGGTTGCGAGCATCCTATGCACGGAGACCACCGCGCCTTACAGCGTGCCGCAGCACCTGTATACATTTTGAATTTACATATACAAAAACGAATGTGTATTTTCTTGTAACCAGGTCAAAATTATTTATGAGCGTGTGACGGTTAGGACTTGGCTCGTTGCCAAATGCCTGAAAGTTACGACAGTAGCCCCCTTTTTTCCTCCTTTTTTCCCTTAAGTTAAAGGAAAAAGAAACTATAAAAATTAAAGAACTCAAAGTCAAGCTGCTTATATAAAAATATATCTATATTTACGTAAATTTTAATTATGTACAGTTAAGATGCTATATACACAGTAAAAGGGGATCCCCCCCCCAAAGGGATAGGGAAAGGGAAAAAAAAAAGGGACAAGAGGGAACAAAAGGAACACTGAACAGGTATACTAGATCAAACTCAAGAACTATACTAATAACTAACAAAACAGATCTCACCACGTCCCTTAGAACACCAGGATTGGCAGTCATGGCCAGCACTCTCCAAACCTCCACGTGGCAGGACAGTGGACTCTGCAGGCCTCAGCCTTAGATAAGCGAGACCAACGCAGGGACCCACTGTTCCCAAACCTCGCTGGAAGAGAAGAGAGAGAGGTCTCTAATCTCCAACTTATTTATACTCTGGTTTACGTAAAAATCGTATGGAATACTGGGTACTTGGCCACTTCCTTGGTTACAAACTGGTCACCAGGAAGGCCTAGACTAAAACCATCACAGAGCGCTAATACTAATTTAATGTGTTCTGTTGCGTTCATTACACCCAGTCAAAGCACCATGTAGTAAGGTACTCAAAAGGGTATGAGTTTATCATCTCATTTCAGAGGCAAACGAGAAAGACTGTTTCTCAAAAAGTCACAGTGAATCAACGAAGATGCATACACGAAATTAGAGTTGTTTAGTTATTTCTACTGATTCGAGCATAGATTTTTGAAGCTAAAGGCGTGAATGATTTTCAGAGTAATCAACCAAAGACGCAGCAAGGAGACCGCGGTACGCAGGTGCTGTAAGTAAAACTGCTGTGCCCAGCACCAGGAACTTTCCGGCAATAATGAAGGTGTTAAAGGGCGATATGTCAGTCGTGTTCTTCAGCTTCCTTTTGTGTCACACTAAAGCATCAGCAAAAGGTTGGACCGTTTTTCTCGTAGTAGTGTTTGCTTGCTTAGTTAGATTTTGGGAAGTCAGGTTAATCCTATGTTCCACAGGGGCTCAGTGACATCAAGTGACTAATGTTTCTGTGAATGCTTCGGGGGTGGTGGTGAAAAAAAAACATCTGCTCGCAAAGCCAGGATGCTCCAGGGCGTGAGGGAGGCTGAAGCTTGCTTCTGTCATGTCCGACTTCAGTCTCAGTCGTTTCTGAACGGAAAATGGTGTTAAACGTCGATTGGCTCACCGCAGAGCCGCACTTTGAGGGGCCCTACAGCCATCGAAACGATGCTGGTGACCTGAGATGCCTGATAGGGAAGCCCAGAACCACCTCAGAAAGATACCGGAGACCCGAGCTGGATTTGCTGGCTGCACTAGGAATCCGAGGCTAGACCTGGAAAACTATGTTTTGAGGTCGTGGGTGAGTGTGTAAAGCAAGGCGAGCCTTTTCTCTTTGCCGCCGGTGCCTGCCCCACGGATCCTCCCCGAGGCAGCACCTGAGCACGGACACGCAGGCAAGGACGGCAATCGCGTCCCTCCTGCCTGGCTCCGCTCCGCTTTCGCCTTCGTGTTTGAATCGCTGTCAAGCAAACAGTAGCGGGGGGAAGGGGGGGGGGCGGGGAGAGTGGGGTAGTGTGGTGGGGGATCTCGCCTACCCCTTCCATATTTAACCATTACCTAAATCCGAAGGGAAATGAGCAAACCTCTTAAGGTATTTTCAGCGCCGTTGGGCGTATTTATCCCAAAAGAGTTTTCCACAACAAGTTATTTCTAGTGTAGGGGAGGTCTCCGTCGCCCAAGGCCCGGCCTCAGCCCCGATTACCGCGCCACGCACGTCCCGATGGCGGCACGAGGTGCGTCCCCCGCTGCCGGGCCGGGGGAGGGATGCGGCGCTGAGCGGGCTCGGCAGGGCGGGCGCCGGCTGCCCCGTCTCCTGCCCTCTGCCTCTGCCCGCCAGAGTCAATCTGTGTTTTGAATCTGTGACTTGTTCTCGTTGCGGAAGTCGAAGGGGGATCCAAGAATAGTTCAGATAGATTTGTGTAATTTCTAGAGCAGAACCCCGAGAGAAATGAAACGCCCGATTCCAGAATGACACTTCCATGTCACTTTAGCGAGCCCTATGTGAGGTGGAACATGGTAAGACATTATCATTTAAGGAAAATAGAGAGAGAGAGAGAGAGAGAGGATGAGAACAGTACTGATTTGTGAACTTCTGGCTTTTTTAAAAACTTTTTTTTTTTTTTTTTTTTTTTGCAGAAGCTCCTAACTAACGCTCAGGAAGTGGAATTTGTGGTTTAGGGGGCCGAGCTCTAAAGGAGTCGAGAGAGAGAGAAAAAAAAAGCCAACTCAAGCACCATTGCTCCTTAAAGGGAGCAAAATTAAAGTCACCCAAACTATCAGGCTGCCGCGCGTACCCTGTTCGCAAGCCCAGCTTCCTTCGCCCCTCTAAATGGGTAAGCGCTCTCGCTTCTCTCGCCTCGCGTGGGCAGCCGCCGGCGGGCGGGCCGGGACAGCAGAGACTCCTCTCGGCCGGGCCCCCGCAAGGGCGGCCACCGAGCGGGCACGGCCGTCGGGCCAGTGGGAGCGGGGAAAAGCGGGGTCAGGTGCCCGCGGCGGACAGGTGGGCTGCGGAACTCGCCTTCCCACGGGCCCAGCCCTTGCCTGGCCGGCTCCGGCCTTGGGAGGCCGGCGGCGCCTCTGCGGCGTGGCTTTTGGAGGGAAAAGCGCCGCTCCGGGGACAAAAACACGAGGCAGAAGCGGCGCCGGCGCCCGGAGCCCCCAACGGCTGCGGCGGGCGCTGCTGTCGGGGGAGCGGCGCGTTATCGGGGCTGCTTTGATTTCTCGGCCCGCTCCGCGCGGGCCCCATCGCTGCCAGCCCCCGCTCAAGGATGAACCTGGGCGCAGGTGGGTCTGGGCACCAACGCTCCCACCCGGCCACCCGGCGCCGTGCCCGTGGGCGGCGCCTCCCCGGCGGCGCGGAGCGACCCGGCCCTCGCCGGCGGACGGGCCAGTGCTTGGCGGTACAGCCGGGAGGGCACCTGCGGGGCAGCTCTCGAGCCCCGCCGACGGGTTGGGTCTCCTCCCTCTTTTTCCCGTTCGCAAACCTGAGGCCGCTAACAGGAGTGGGGGGGGGGGGGAAGTGAAGCAACACCCATAAAGAACCCATCGAACGTCAATTAAATTCGCTATTTGCAAAGTGTCATGTGTAATGGCAGAGGCGGCCCGGCACTGGACGAGTTCCAGTGAACCTCTCCTGTCTTACTCCGAGGAGCCCGCTCGGAGTAGCTCTCGTTAACCCGGTCCCTGGCCCCCCTCGACTCCACGACTCCCCGCGGGGTCCCCACCTCGTCTCCTCTCCCCGCCCCGGCTTTCGGTGCCCGCAGCTGTAAGGTGTCGCGACGCCGACAGCTGCGGGCTTCAGGAAAGATTCCGTTTTGCTCGTTTTCGCGTTGTCGTGGTTCGCGCGGGATGAGTGAATCAGTCCCTCCGACAGGAACAGCCCCTCAAGCGCCAGGTTTACGCTGGCGAGTTTGTAACGACTCTGCCGCCCGCCCCGGTAGCAACCTCGCGCTGACTAGCCCGTTCAGGGTGGCGGGGACTGATAAACAGTTTCTCGGGGAGAGAGATTTGTTGGGGCCGATTCTGCCGCGGCTGCCGGCTTGGGGACCAGCACGGAGGCGCGGTGCGCCCGGTGGGCCGACTGCGGACGCGATCCCGCGGCGGGACGGGGCTGCACCCGACCGCGCCCCCCCCGGCTCCCTCAGCCCCCGCTCGTCCGACGAACGGTGCCCGGCTACCGCTGGTGCCTGTTCCCCGCGATCCGGCTGCAGCCGTCGGGCTGCCGGAGCGTGGCCGGGGAGGACACAAGCTCCCGTGTGGGGGGTGGAAAGAGGTTGGCCGGGGGGGTGGGAGGCTGAGTTAGCTGCGCTCAGGGAAGGGGGGGCGAGACGAGCGGGGCCGGGGGCGGCGGCCGGAGCCACCTGCCCGCCGCCACCTGGCGCACCGCCCTCGACGAGCGGCCCCTCCCGGCCGGCGCCCCCGGCCCTCACCGGCGGGATCGCCGCCTACCCGCAGGTCGCCTCCCCGCCGCCGTCCCGCAGGAGACTCGGGGGTGACGCTCGCCGCCCGGCGAGGGAGAGGGAGTGCGGCCGTGCCGGCCGTGGCAGCGCCCCACCATGCCGAGGTCCTTCCTAGTGAAGAGCAAGAAAGCGCACAGCTACCACCAGCCCCGCTCCGCCGACGAGGACTACAGCCTGCGGCTCGAGACGGTGCTAGCCCAGATCTGTGCAGGTAGGAGTCCCTCGGTCGCAGCCTCGCTCGGACACAGCTCGCCCGCCCGCCCTGCATCACCCCACGGCTCCCGGCTCCCGGCTGTCTCTGTGCAGCCCCCCCCGGGACGCCAGAGGGGCTCATGCGGGGTTTTAGAGCGTCCGACATCAAACCTTGGTGGGAGCGGGGCCGCCGCGGGAGGTGACTCCCACCATGGACCCACACTGATGACCCCCTTGCCCCCTTTGCCCTGCAGACAGCAAGATCCCCGAGGACACGGAGCTGTGCCGCACTGCCCCGCCCGATCCGGAGACTTCCCAGGGGCGCTTTTCCCCGGAATCCCACCTTACCGAGGCTGCCGATGGCACCTCCGAGTCAGTGCCCAGCTGCGAGGGCAGCGTCTGTGACAGAGTGTCCGAATTCGAGGATTTCTGGAGACCTCCCTCGCCCTCCGTGTCGCCAGGTAGGATCGGGGCGAGCGTCGCTCAGCGGGGCTCCGGCTGCATGTCAGTGTCCGTGCCGTGGGGCAGTGGAACATGTATGTCCTGGCTGGTCGCCGCAGCCTAAAACGAGTAGAATGGACAGATTTGCCTGTCCCTTTTTTATTATTATTTTCTCCCCCCCCCCCCCTCATTTGCCAGAATCTGTTTCTTCCATTAGTTTTCGGGTTACGTCTTTCGGGTTGATTTCCCAGCCCGTGACCCGCTGCACCTTCAGCAGGCTGTAGAAAAGTTGTCATGACATTGGATGTTGTTTTTTTTTTGTTTGTGATTAATTGTTAAAAGCAAATCGATTATGTTTTTAAACGTCCCGGCATTTTCTTACAGGGTTCTGCCTACACAGAGCTTATAAGTTTTTTAAGACAGCACAAACTTCTACTAGGCAATCTATATACCTGTAGTAAACAGCGTTGATTGTGTGTTTTGTACTACGTGCTGGACGTCTTCCCTAACGCCCTTTCAGGTCATTTCTTGCCTCTTGCCTATAAAAAGGATCTGTTTCTCTTCCCGCCCCCCTCTCTTTTGTTGTTTTTTTTGGGGGGAGTTGGGGTTTTTTTTGTTTATTTTTCTTTTCTGTAAACGCATTTGTAAAAAACAGAGGAAAATAATGATGGTCAGATTTAAACACCCCAAATCCAGGAAACTCACACTTATGGCTGCAGTGCCTGTCTCTAGCTCCCTCGTCCTGCCTTTGATGTGGTTGGAGCAGTGGGAGATGCTGTCCCCAGCCTGGCGCAAATACTTATCTCGTTTAAAAATACGGTGGTGTCATTTTGTAACAAAAATATGTATGTACATAAAACTATTTTTTATTGCCTCGATTAAAAAGTGACAGCTGGAAAAAAAGAACAATTTCTGCCTCGATGAAGGAGAAATTGTGTCAGGTTTACCGAGTGACAGCAGACACCAGCAAACGAATACTTAGTCCTGGTTTGCCACCGTATTTTTCTACTTCGTCTTTATAGCGTCCTTGCATATCAGTGGCTGATTGTAATGATGTGGGTTTGCATTTTTAAAGCCTCTTTTTTTTTTAAGAGTCCTAAACCCCTTTGAGGGAACATTCAGAATGCTGCCCAGCATCATCACAGCCGGCCACAAGACAGTTTCAGTCTCTGCAAATGACAGACCAGACCAAATGCAGCAATGCAGCAGTCTCTCTTCGAATAATATTTCTGCACAAAGTGTAGAAATGTGGGTAATTTTTGTTCTAATGAATTTGTCCTGCTCCTCCTTTTCCAAACAATTGCAATTTCTGCACAGAAAACAGACCGTTTTCACGAGGTGTATAAAGACAGATGTAAAATGGAGCAGCTATTTACCAGGTTTACTCTGGCTTTTCTTGTTCCCCACTCAATTCTTTTCTCGCTGTGGGATTCATTAGCTCCCAGCCAATCGTCCAGCTATCCAGGGAAATTAACTTTGCAAAATTAAGGGTGACATCCCCAGACCAAGATGTTTTGAATTGTAGGGGGGTGCGGTTCTGGGATTGTCTGATCCCCTTCATAGGAGGACTGGGGAGGTGAGGAGCTCCCAAATAGTCTAAGAGCTTTATTAAACGAATCTCAATGCATTGAGAGAGGTGCTGTAATGTTAATGATAAAGGCAGTGGCAGCAGGATTAGATGGTTGGGTTTCCTCCTACAGTTCCCCCCCAAACCCTCTGCCTTCCAGCTGCTTTGTCAGATTCAGTGCAAAGCTGGAATTTGTGTCTAGGTCACTTCTGTAAGATGCCCTGGTGAGAAACTGTATTCCTACAGTTGTGTTTAGATGGGACACAGTTTTTGTGTTTTGCCAGGCAGAGCAGATGAGAAATGATGATTCTAAATCATGCTCAGGTCAGGCGTGGTGAGTAGCACGATGACCCCCTTATCTCTTGAATATAGGTGCAGGTTGCACTTCAGTATGCAGTGAAAGCCGTATTTCACTTTTGTTTTTTGAGTGCTGTGCTGCTGATCTGGGTGGGCATACAGCATACAGACACACTACCTTTTAACACTCTAATACACTGTTGACTCCATCAGTACAAATCACTTTGCTGTTTAACCTCACTTTCTGTGTGTGTCTCTAATCACACACGTTTGCACATACAGAAGGTGCATGGGAGCTCATGCAGCAGTGTATTAATAAGTCCTGATGAGCCTGTTGATGTTCCAGTCTTGAAAGGAGACTTGTACTGGGTATAATGTGCAGAGAGTGTGGTGTTTCGTGCTCTGTGCTCTGTTTAAGAGGACACTTGAATCTTTCTTCACTGTGCATATCAACCATTTAAGGTTGAGTTCATTTTGCCTTCAAAAAAGAGCATTGTTTTTTTTTTATCTCCCAGAAGTAGTCTATATAAACACAGAATTTCTAGGAAAATGAGGGAGAATCTTTTTCCTCCCTCCCTGTTCCCCCCTAGATGCTGTGGAGTGGAGGAGAGGCAGACACGGAAGTGCCCTGCAGTGTGGTAGAGCAGGGTTTGAAGATTGCTTTTCCCTGGGTGCAGGGCTTGGATGGCTTGAGTATAACATGAGTGATTCCCGTGGACTTGTGCTTTAGAGGGCTCCAGAGCATGAGAGGTGTTGGAAGGAACATTGCACGCAAACTGATCTGTGGTGCAATGTTCACCGTGTACTGTATTGCCAATTCCAAGGGCTCAAAAATCAGGTCAGCCTTCCCTCTCCTCTCACTCAATGAACTGGCTTAGAAATCAAGATTAATGTTTGGGCTAGAAGGTGGTTTTAAGAGGGCGGAAAAATAGTTAAGAACAAGCAAACAAAAGAAAACCTGAAGGCCTGATGAACTCATGAAGTTTTATGAGCTGGGACTTTAAGATGGTTTTGAATTCTGTGATAAAATCGTGAGAGATGGCAACACTGAAACTGGTTGCAAAGACACAAGATAGGTGACGTGACACTGACCGCAACTTTGCAGTCAATGCAGAACAGGAAAAATCATGCTCAGCACCATGTCAGCTAATTTGATTTCATTGCTCTGTTCAAATGTCCCGGTTGGTATGTGTCCAACCAAAAAACTGTTAATTTCAGTGGAATAATTTGAGACTGGTAATGTCTGAAATTACGTAAAGGACAGGAAACAGTCATGTCGTTCAAAGCTCAATTTTCACCTAATTTCCCACTCCCTTCTGTAACCTCTCAGTGACCATTTGCCTATCCAAATGGATAGCATAAGGCATCATTCCTTCCTTCCCTAGTCCACCCCTGGTTATCTTGGTTTACCAGAGGTTGAGAAGGCCATGGGAGCTATGAAGCTGACAGGAGAGAGGAAAAAGTAGGAGAGCAATTGTGGATGGACAAGATTTTGGTTAAAAGACGTTACTCTGGAAGCCCAAGTTGTAAGCAGTGCCAATATCTCTGTGAAGGCACTGGTGTTTCAGCAGTTGACTAATTCATCTTTTCCTTGGTTCACTAAAACATTTTTGCAGTGGAGACATTTGACTCTCCCAGTGCTGCTGCGTGTTGTGATGAGGAGTGAAAGCAGTGCACCTCAGCACTCTGGCAGACATGGTTGGGGTCTGGTACCTCATGTTCCATGCCCAGCTGTGCTTTCCTCCATGCAAGGCTCCCTGAGCATTGTGAAACAGCATTTCAAAGGCTATTCTTTTGCCATTGTATCAGACTCTGCTATGGGTCCCCAAGTGTGGTTCATCTTCTAGTGCCCACTGCCTTGGTCAGATGCCATTGCCAAAGATAAGCCTGTTAGAGCCAACTAAAGCTATCTAAGCTTGTCCTGGTGGAAGTTTGCTTTGATTATGACTGCTAGGAAAATGGTAATTGTGTCTTCAGTTTTTAATGTGGCCTCTACTGATGACTTTACAAAGCTCTGTGTTTTGGGTGGACTCAGTTTCTTTACATGGAGAACCTCAGAGCAATCTGAAACAATCATGTTTTTTTTTCAGATGAGGATTGATTTTAGTTGTTCGGGGTTTTTTTTTCTGAAAATCTTCATCAGAGCTTAAACATATGGACTGTGAGCTTTGATGTCCATCTTGGAGCACAGTAGATTCACATTTTTGAGAAGCTGTAGATAAAACTGTAGGAAGTTGCAGACTGAGTTGTTTAGATTGTTTACACGGTCAGATCAGTGTATATACACCTGGGCACCCAGAGATGGAGCCAGAAAAAATTGGTGTCTGCTTTAAATAATTTGGCTGGGACATTTGGTAAGTAGGTGGTACTGGATGCTCGGCCCCTAATGTGCAATGTAAAATGTCCTCCCACGAGAGATGAAAGGGCAGCCTCAGTGTGCAGTACAGGGGTCTGCCTCTGGGCATAAGTCTGGGTGCCGAGACTGTTCCGCCCCGTGATAGTGTCTGGATTGTGAAGCACACTAATTCCCATGCCCTTTTGTTTCCACAGCCTCGGAGAGATCTGTGTGTCCATCCCTAGATGAAGCACCCCCTTTCTCGGTGCCCTTCAAACCGTACATGTGGAACAGCCTGGGTGGCTCTGAGCTGAGGCATCTTGTGCAAAGCTACAGGCCCTGCCCAACGCTGGAGCGACCCTCAGCGCTGGGGCTCTTCTGCGACCGAGGCTCTGAGCCTGCCCTGTATGGCGCTGAGTGTAGCTCTTCCCTTGGACTGTATGGAGACTTCAGCTCCCCGGGCACGGGGCTGTTTGAGCGCTCGCCGGCAGCAGCTCCTGGACTCTATGCCGAAACACAGCCTGGGCTGCAGCAGGAGAAGGGGCCGGGTGGCATCAAAGTGGAGTCAGACCTCTTGTGCCGCCCACTGCTCATCAGCACTGGCTCGTACAAGTGTGTCAAGTGCAGCAAGGTAGGGGTCCCTTTCTCCCACACTGGTTATGACTCTTCCCCAGACCCTTCTCCCTGGTGAACTTAACCCCATGTACTCTCTTCCCTCAGGTCTTCTCCACACCGCATGGCCTTGAGGTACACGTGCGCCGCTCACACAGTGGCACGAGGCCCTTTGCCTGTGACATGTGTGGCAAGACCTTCGGCCATGCAGTCAGCCTGGAGCAGCACAAGGCCGTGCACTCGCAGGTGAGAGCAGGGCAGGCTGCCAGGATGAAGGTCTGGGAGCCAGGGCCAGCTGCTTTATTCAGCTGGCTCTGGGGAGGGCAGGAAGGCAATTGCAGGGCAAGAGTTGGGGATCTA